ACTTAATTTTATGATTTCTTGGGGTATGGTCAGCGACAAAGTAATTGTTGTATTAGCTGGTTGATTCTCAGAGTTCTAAACGTTTCTTCCCACCTTCTCGGCTGCTACAACAAAGGACGATGATTACAATCGTGAATGACATCGTTGTAGGCGACGTACTTCTTTGGTTACGTGGAAACTTTAACGATTCCTTCGGATCGATCGGGAAAGGTCACCATTTGTTTTTTCGTAAAGCGCGCCTGTGTCAACTGAGCGAAGGTGCCGCCATCCGGGCCGGCAGTGAAATGGAATGCGTAGAGCTTTGTAATTTTAATTTCTGCTGCGCATTCATTTTTTGTCAGCCAATGAAAAAATTCGAATTTTTTGGTGCGTCCAGAGTTACTCGTCAACGACATTTTAAGACGAGTAGCACTGGGGACGAGAATGCGTTCAGTTGCAAATCGCCGTCTGGTCTCTAAAGCGCATGCGCCACCTGTGCATGCGTTCAGCACATGGAATTTACAGAGGTTGTCGTCGAGAAAAGTTAGCACGGATTCCATGATTTCTAGGGCGATGAAATCACATACAAACGAACACACCGTTCAAGGTAGACCAACACTAAAGGACGTTAAGTGTTTTCGGAACGAGTCTGTCGCGTATTTGGTTTATTTCAATCGAAGCACATGGAACAGAATGCGCATAAGTGCGCATGCTCATAATGTCAACCGCTGGCTCAATACACTACAACTCCTCCCCCTTAAGCCAGCCTCGTACCCCAAAAGTTCAACACAACATGCTATTCTTAAAAATAAAGTCAGAGCCCTAGAAATGGGCAGTNTCTGGAGAAGTAGGCAGGAGTGGTGTGCAACTGCATCGCATTTTGACTTGTATTTCGGGGGAAATCAATATTTGAATGTAAAAGTGTTTTGTCACTCCGAAATTCGCATGTTCCATAAATTCAAATTACCAACTCTTCGTGTTCATTGACATCTTTATAACTCTTTAAGAGCTGTAAGCTAACTCTTCAGTCATTGTTTGTGCCTTAAGTTTATAACCCAAATGGACCGGCAAATTGTCGATCCCGGCCTAAATATAATTATACAATGCGGCGATCTTGACTGGGGACCCGCACTTCGAAATGAACAAAAATTAGTACTTCGCAGCTGTCCAAATCGTAGCTAGACTCTGAATTGTAATGCTAGATGATACAGTTCTTTCACTTAAAGTTCTTGTCCAGTTTTGATAAAATATGAATCACAAATAACCTGAAAATGTTTTGACTGCCCTCGAAGCTCAGTCAAAAGTCTCTTGAGTGTTTTAGCCCGGTTCCCGAAGTGACGTCACTAATAGCCCAACCCAGATCCCACTTTGCACGGTCTTCAACATAGCAATTACATGTTTAAATGCCTGTAGAAATGCAGGGATTTTATCAATCGAGATAATTTTTTTGCTGAAGTAATCAGGGAAACTAGTAGATTTTATTAAAGGAAAAAATTTGGGGGGTTAGTGGCACTTTAAAGTCTATATAAGGTACAGCTGAGTGGTTTCCATATTGCCCAAGAGTTCTGAAATTAAGAGAACTTATGAGAGTGACATACTTGTCTTAAGCTTCTTTGTTGTCTTATGACAGAATTTAAAGTGCACAAAAAGTAAATCTTCATTTTCCACACCGTTTACTCTCACTTATAAAAGATATCATTTCAGTCAATCAAATCATGCTTAGAATCCAGTCTATGTTGAAGAACCTTCTCCGTTAATTGTCATATAGAACATTTGTGTTATTGTGCACGCAGACAGGTAAAAATTAACCTTAAGTTTTAACAAAAAGATGTTACAAATATGGAAAGTAGATTTTAGTTAGATTTATTTGGCAGCAAGGTAATAGTTAATAATGTACAGTTAGCTATCTTAGAGTGGTTTTCAACTGAGTGTTGAAAGTGATCAGGCAATTAGTTTGGTTTTGGGTTTGGTTTTACTACGGTTTGAGATTGGCTGAGTAGTCTAATTGGCAAGTACTTGGTTTCGTTTTGGTTTTCTGACACTCAATTGAAAACTGCTCTAAAGCCATAATTTAACTACTTAAGGACGGTGCCTACTAAATGCAAAGGTTTTTGCGCCAGGTAAGGACCACACAGAAAAAGTAGATCTTTGCAAGGGCTATTGTAATCCACAGAGAAAAATGGGGGTAGCCACGCATTTTTGCGAGATAATTAGCCCTGAATCTGAACAAAAATGCTGACATCAGCATTTTCCTGTAAAAAGAATGAAAGGATATTTCTTCACAGATTTCCATAGAATTCGCCTTTACATACAGAAAAGCAAACACATTTAGAAGATCTTTAAACTACATGGCAAATGGTGACAAAAAAAAACATTTTTGATATGGTTTTAATAACAAAATCGTTGCAAAAGTGCTTTTGATGTATCTGACAGCCTTCCTCTGGCTCAGCTAAAATACAGTCTAAATACCCTTTGCTTACAACCAGAAACTAATCACGTGTTGAATAGACTTGCCACTTCCATTTCATAACATAAAATGTAGGGGTAACCACGCATTTTTTAAAGTTATTGATCTTTTTTGAAAACTTTTACAGTGCCCATTACATTTTTTCCTGTCACCTCCCAGGTAAGTGAGACATTTGCATATCTCGCACTTGTTTTGTGCGCGCACTACGCCATCTGCAGGTACATGTTTACAGTTGGATTTCAGTATAATTTTCGACAGATAATAACTAGGTTTTCAGCTGGAAGATGTAAACAGTTTGTGGTTAGCAATATGCTGTCATTCTGGTGTTCCTGGTTAAAGTACAGGTTCATTAAACTTGATTTGGTCGCAGTAGGAAAATTTTGCTTTCATTTTAATGGTGTACGTGATAGCATAGTTGATTGCATCAATGTCAGCCCCAGCGCGCACGTGGAACGAAACCATGGCTTGTGTGATGCGCAGAACGTGTGCGCACTAGCAAAAGTAGGCACCGTCCTTAATTTGACTATGGTAGTTGTGTTAATTGACAGTCCTTTTTTAAGTTTACTAACAAAGTTGTTTTGTTTTAAGATCTGGAGATGGTACAGTAAGATTGTGGCCAATAAATGAAACAGGAGTTGGAACACCCCTTATTTTACGTCATCAATTTAAAGATTTAGAAAATCATAAAAATGCAACCAAAGATGTGACCTCACTAGAATGGAATGTAAGTGGCGGTAAAACAGGTACCAGGGGTTTCATTAGCATTTTCAGCAGGGGATCAACAAGTTTTCACAGGCTGGCAAAATGTTTAAACTAGGCAGGAAAAATCATCCTCACAGCCAGTCAATCCTGATGTACCCTTAAAAAATATTATGGAGTAGCAATTGAGTCCCTTGTGATGATTAAACAGTGATTTGTTAAATGCCTATCAATATAATTGGTTAACACTACTTAGTCTTGTTGTTCATCCTTAGAACAGGTCATACTAGTACCCCTCCCCAGAGGTACAGCCAGGATTAGGGGGGTTGCAGATGTGTGACAGCTCATACCCCCATCCCATAAGACTGTACCTCTTTTTGTACTCTCTTTTGTAAACCTTTGCCCTTGTTGCCCAAGATTTCCATTTCTTCCCAGTTTATTATGTGATTCATGTGTTATCACCAGCTTGTTGATTTATACACCTTTTGCTGTTTCCTGATTTTACAGAATGATGGTACACTTTTAGCCACTGGATCATACGATGGCCAAGCTAGGATTTGGAGTCCAGAAGGTACTGTTATATAACTACAGTGAACCTCATGCATTTCCGTCAATTAATCATCACCAGAGTAAACAGACTCTTGGCAGACACAGTTACGTCCCCTGCGAGAGACTTAGAGGTGGCTGAGATCTCACCCAAAAACCTCCACTCTGATGACAAAGCTGTACAAAGATCAGTATATCGTCTTTTATTGGTTGTTGCTTGTGTTTTAAAACCAGTCAGACGCTGTTTTAATTAGCAGAAATTTTCTTGACTCTCGCTGAAAAAAACTGATTAAGTCTCTTATCCTGTCACCTGTACTAACCTTGGATACTTACTCACTGTCTTGTGCTTATCTGGTCTTAACAGGGGAGCTGTTAAAAACACTAAGCGATTACAAAGGACCAATATTCTCCATCAAATGGAACAAGAAGGGAAATTATTTACTTAGTGCTGGTGTTGATAAGGTATGGTATCTACCCACAAGCATGTGCATTGTTGTTACTTTACTAAAAATTGTAAAAACTGCCACTTATTAAATCCTATTTGTTGTTTTGTTTGCAGAGTAATATTGTTTGGGATTCAAATAATTGGGAAGTGAAACAGCAATTTTCTTTCCACCAAGGTAAACTATGTACATTTTAGAGATAAAATAATATAAGCAAAGACTCTACAGCAGTGGTAGGTTTTATAAAACTTAATAGGGCTTTGGAGTTTTTGAAACTCTCAGTTGCACTCACAAGTTATGTGCTCAATAGACAAGCTTATCAATGGTATGATGCTATAGGCACAGTGGTGGAGATTAGCACTTGTCATTCAGCCTTGAGAATAAACTTAAATGAGTGTTAATTCCTTTTGGCCGAGAGGAAATCTGTAATTTCCTATTGCTTTACACTTTCTCAGTTTAAATGGTAGCTACTTTATAAAAAGTTCCCTCTTGTGTGATATATTTTCTCTCATCATCTTTCCTTTTTATGCCTGTTGAAGCATGTACATGTACATGTAAGACAAACACCAACTGTCCACCATCTCGTGGTTAAGTGAAAGGCTGGTAAAAAAAAAAAAATAGTATCTCATGCTGGCTGGCTGGTAAAAACAAGCACTGGTATCTCATGCTCTCTGGCCTCTGCAGTGAAGACTACTTAGCACACTCTGTATATCTCTTCATTGAATCAATAGCATCGCTGTACAGTATTTTTGTTGTCTTTTGTTGCAGCTCCCACGCTAGATGTCGACTGGCAGAACAATACTAGTTTTGCATCATGTTCAACAGATAAAATTATACACGTCTGTAGGATAGGAGTTGAAAAGCCTGTCAAATCTTTCCAAGGGCATACTGTAAGTTACTAACACTTGTCATGAGGCTGCAAATTTATTTTAGACTTGAAGTATATTTTGTGTGTTCTCCAGTGTGATGTGAGAAATCTGAAGCAGACCAAGATGAATTTTGCAAATAAAATGGAACTGGTGCTGTTAGTCTTGTCAATATCATACAGTTGAACTACTATTGCTAAAAATAGCAGAAGTTTTCTCAAACTCATTAACAATTCATCAAGTTTAAACAAAGGAAATCATGACTGTGATGGTGTTTAGATATATGATCTCAATTAGCATAGATTTTTACAATATTTTATTTATTTTCTTCTTACTTTCAACTGAGAAGATATATGAAACACCCAAGACAGTGTTTGACCTCATTTCCAAACACCTTGAAGTTCGTCAAAAGTACTCTGCTGCATGTCGTATTTTCAACTCTCTTCTCGGTGTTTGGAAATGTGGTCAAACACTCTATTGTATATTAGTATAAATCTACTAGCATTCTATCACAAATGTCGTTCTCTGATTGGTTACGCTACTCACTATCTATTCTATGCTACTCACTATCTATTCTATGCAACTCACTATTTATTAGTAAGTAGTGCGCTAGTGTAAAGTGATGGCCGCCTCTTGGTGTTTTCAAAATGTCTGTGAAGATGATTTAGATAAAGTTTTGAACAACTAGTAGATTTATACTAAAACAATAATTAGATTATGAACTCGAGATTTCTATCACATATAGAAATCGAGAGCGAATAATCTAATTGTTTATTAGCAGGATGCTAGTAATAAATAGAGAAACTGGAGAAACTGATCATGACAAGTGAATCTAGTTCATGGACTGGTCAGTGTCACTGTGTTGTTTTCTTGAGCAAAATGCTGCAGTCTGATAAACTGAGATCAACTTTTAAATTTGGAATGATTGTTGTTTTAACAGAGTGAAGTAAATGCAATAAAATGGGATCCTTCAGGGTCGTTATTAGCCTCTTGTTCTGATGACTTGTCAGCAAAGGTAAGAGACAGGATTTGATAATAGAGTTACTTGTCTTTTATTCTTTAAAACATTGCAAAGATCTGAACTTTTCACTCAGTTTTTGTTCCACTGTAAAGTGGACAAGGTCTTCAGTCTGTGATGACTGAGATATTTGTCAGCTTTGATTCTTGAACAAGTTATCCTTGACAAGATAATGACTAAGTTGACCCTGTGACCTAATAATTAGTGCTTTGACTCCAGATTGAGCAGTCCAGTGATGGATTTTGGGGGGGGCGGGGGGGAGGGGCTGGATGGCAAGCCACCCCCTCTTTGGAGGAGCATAAAAAAAATAAAACAAAATTGAAAGCAATAATTAATGTGATTATTATGGAAAAAATAGAGGCAAACACTTCAGATAGGTACCCCATTGTAATTTCTACTTTGTGACATTGCTTGTATTTCCTGCGTAACAGTTTTCAATCAGGTTCCAATTCTCAAACTGTCACATTTTGGGGGGCATGCCCCATTGATTCTGCAACCCCAAAATACGAGCCAGCCACCCCCTCTTGAAAAATCCTGTGTCTGCCCAACAGCAAACTGTTATGGCAACCTAACAGAAGATTACAGGATAACTTGTACTGGATGAATATCCCACTAGGTGGAGTAACAATACCCCTTCACACTACAGAAATCACCTGACTGCTCCAATTCCCGTGATTTTAACAGTTCTAACCACTTCTTTGTACACACTTTTGCTGTTTTTGTGCATCTAGATTTGGAGTACAAAACAAGATTCCTGGATGTTTGATCTTCAAGGTCACAAAAAAGAGATTTATACAGTAGCGTGGAGTCCTACAGGACCCACGACAGCATGTCCTAATGCACCTCTGCTTTTAGCGAGGTAAGTTACAGAATAAAGTAACAAAACCGTGTTTTCACCGAGACAAATTGAATTCTGAATTTACTCATCAGCACATGCCTTAGCAAGCCTTAGTCTGGTCATGCATTCGGGAGAAAGATTGCGTGACAAGTCAAAGGATATGTGTGAAGCAGGCTACACTTGCTTTTGTCTTCGTAATATCAATTCACTCTGATTTTCCTACCTTGTTTTCAGTGCTTCATATGATACCACAGTCAAACTATGGGAACTTGAGCGCGGCAGCTGTGTTTTGTCGCTCTCTAAGCATCAGGAGCCCGTGTATTCACTCTCATTCAGCCCTGATGGTAGATATCTCGCGTCAGGTTCCTTTGACAGGGCAATAAATGTCTGGTCAACTCAGGTGAGTAAATATAGCACTTACGTTCAGTAGGATTTTTTTAAGATATCTTCCTTATTGCATGATCTTTGTTTTGTTTTTTTTTTTGGTTTTTTTTCTAGACTGGAACTTTAGTTCATAGTTTCCATGGCAATGGGGGAATATTTGAAGTTCAGTGGAGTCCAAGAGGTGATAAAGTAGCCGCATGCTTTTCAGACAACACGGTGAGTTATCAAACAATACGATGTCTTATCAGACGACGCTTATTCGACTTGCGTAGAGTAGCCATGTTGTTGGTTCACTAGGGACCTGGATCACTAGTTGTGGGTCCAAGCTCGTCCACCTAACATATAACCGTTTAATGGAACTACGTCACAGTTTGCTCATCTTGAAAAGTTTAAGCCCAAATTTTTCTAGTTCGTCGTTTGTAATCCGTGTCAATCTTTTCCATCCTTAACCATCCTTGTTCCCTTATGGTTTGTTATAATCTCTTTGAAGTTTTTCTGTCTGAGTAAACCATTATGTTCAGGTTTCCTTCAGTTTAAAGGTAATTTTGTCCATGGCCAAAATAAATCGAAATGTGGTAACTGAGCTCAGCATAAGAAGATCTTGTACTTCAGATAGTGAAAACGACAAACTTCCTTGCTCGGCCAAAATAAGGCTTAGGAAGAGGGTTATAAATAATATTGCTTTAGCCCATTAGTGCTCTTGGTGTTCAGGGACAAACCAATAAGCTATCCACTCATAGCGGGCATAAACTAATCATCTGTTTTACAATTTGTCCTTACATATTATTTTATCTCCACAGCTGTGCGTTTTAGATGTCCGAAACCTTTGATATTTTTAATCACTGTTGTTAGACCTTCAACACATATTCCCAAAGAACCTCAACAGAGTAACGACACAAGTCATCACAAAGAAGTCCGGAACGAGGGAATCTGCCAGTTATCAGCTGGTTGACATTTTGCGATATCAAAGAAATCCAGAAACTAAAACCAGTAACTCATGGGGCGAACACCTCGTCTAATTTTTTAACTCGATTTTCTCTACAAAAAAACTGGATTTTCTTTTCTTTGTCAAAATATCATTGCAGTTTCACTATGTACACTGTGCATCAAGAAAAAGAGTTCTACATCTATCGTCTTAAGTTTATCTAAGCTAAGTTTCTCTATTCCTGTCAGCTTCTTGTTTCATCGCAAAAGCAAAAACGTAAAGCATTCGTCGTCATTCCGACGATTAAGTTCCGAAGAGTGCGATTCGTTTTGACCAATTCGCCATTGCCACATCCCTCATAATACACCTTGTTTGCCGTCCAAAATTCTGCATAACCTTTGTTTCCCATTTCTCCTGGATATCACAGTCGTCCCAAGAGAAACTGAAGACAATGCTCACGCAAAATTTTGGGGGGCAAACAAGGTGCATTATGGGGGATGTGGAAATGGCGAATGGGGAAATAGCAAGAGTGTTCGGAAAGTTTTTGTCGGCTTATCATCGCTACGCGACTTAACCACTGACAATAAAGCGCATGCTCAAACATTCCAAGATGGCGAAATTTCACTGCCTCCGTTTCTTTTGGTCACGTGGTAGGCGAACGAGTAGCACTGGGGACGAGAATGACGAGAGTTTGAACGAAAAAATTTCATAATTCCTGATTGAGTTTTTCTCGCTCTAGTGCGATTTGATAAGACTAAGTTGACCGGCTTGTTGTACAAATGGCGAATTTTAACCACGATTACCGTCGAAGATCTTTGAAATCTTGGGTTTGTAGATAAATAAAATATTGTTTATTTGCAATATTATGCGAAAATTCGCGCGAAGTTCACAAGTAAACAACTGAATTCAAACAGGAAAGTATAATTCGTGCCTCTTATTTTTCAACGCGTACAGTCTATATCCAGGATCTTTTCTAGTGTTCAACATTTTAATTGCAGCCTGTCATTTTTCTTGACAAAATTTTTTTCCAGTGCACGCCAATTATTTATATTAGTGAGATACCTTTTTTTATTTCATGGGGTGTAGAACATATGACTTGTTTCCTGCTTGACTGGGAGAAGTCACAGGTCTGTCTCGAGGTTCGCCGCGCGAGAGCTGCCATTTTCCTCGCGCGTTTCTCGGTTCTCGCGCCACAATCTAGACGAAAGACTGAAGACAGTTGACCGCGTCGTTTTCAATTGTCTAAGCTTTTCCTCGTAAGTAATGTAATATACGTCTGTATTTGTATTATGTCATTAGCCTCATGAGAAATGTTACTTTGGTGCAATTATGTTGAAGATATTCTGTCTGTAGGCTGTAACACTTTTTAAATCCACCAATGTCATTACATATTAAATTTTAAAGTGCATAATTAAGTATTGCCGATATATGTGCAGTAAAGAGAATTGTTTTCAACTTGTGATGGTACAATTTTCTGCTTCGTGTTTCTAACACTGATTGTTTTTGTTTTTTTCCTTGTGTTTTGTTTTTCAATATTCACTTAAAATAAACGAACTATGTCACGGTTTGCGCTTCTTAAAAAGTTTAGCCGAAATTTTTCATGTTCGTGGTTTGTAATCCGTTTTTATCTTCTCCATCCTTAACCATCCTTGTTCCTTTTTGGTTTATTATTATGTTTTGGGTGTTTTTCCATCACTCAAAATACCGTGACTGAGCTTCTATAAATATACCCTATTCCTTTAATAGTGTCTCCTTTTTACACGCTGCTTTTGGCTTTCCCTTGACAGTAACACAAAGATATTTCACACACGCCCTCGAGCAAACTCGTCTTCCCCATAGCGCGCTTTTCTATTGGTCAAAAGAATTGGCAGGTTTAGAGTTACTCTTACTTGTAACTGACTGTTACCTCGGGTTACCAAGCTATCGTTACTTGGATGCGTGCCCACCAAGACTGTGCGCCAGAGTTCCGCTTTTTGCTACCCCGAGGTTTGGATGAGTTTAAAGGGAAATATGCACGATTTCTGGTAGAAAACGTTATAAAAAGGGCCGATGAACTGTAAGTAAATTACTATCATTATGCAGTTTTTACAATAGAGTCTTAATTTCGGCATTAGAGTGGTATGGCATAATCAAGTGGAGAATTTCTAAGAAAAAATGGAGACATCTGTAACCAGCCGTTTTGGCGGGAAATGGGCGCGCGCAGCCGTTTGCTGCGGGATCCCTAGAGGCCTAGCGTCGAAGCTGTCTGACAGTGAATTTCGATGAACACCGAAATCGCATTTTCACGAACTTTCTGGGCATAAAAGAACAAGCAGGTAAGTGGATCCGAAGAGCGGAGGGAAGTCGTAACATTAGATCAGTAGGAGCCAGAGTTTCCTAACCCTTAAAGCAGCGAACTCAGTGACATCATCTTTTAAATTACCTTAATTTTCCGTGTTTTGTGAAAGTCCATAAGAATATAATGCATGGAGGCTACTACTAGAAGCAAAAGCTGCATGCATGTGCATTCATTTGTTGTGTTCTTGCCCTCAAAGCGGTCTTCCATTTGAACTAGAATATCACTGAGAAATGTAGTACAACACACAATCTTGTGACTGTTGCTCGTATGAATGTAGATTGAGCAAGTTCTGCATTAATGAACTATTCGAATGAGCAACACTGGTAAACGTAAATAGCAGAGGTTACCACGTTATCAGTATTTTCTCACTATTTCTCTCACCTTACTTTCTCATCATCGCCTACTTTCGTCTCACTTTACCAATATCCCTTTTAACAAGAAACGTAAAATAAT